CGCGTGTGTACCATATAATTTTTTTAAACCACGAAAAACCACACCCCAGGTTTCAATTTCCTGTTTAGTGTATTCAATTCTGGGAATTGGTTGGCCATGACGATGAGATTTAGCGATTTGAGCAATCTCAGTACGACGTGCTCTGTAAACCGGATCTAACGCGCCCGGATGATCGGCGTCTACACATATATATATGTACATATTAGAAAGCCTTCCTTTCTCTATCTAATAGAAAATACTTGAATATAAATTTGTTACCAAGTTCTTCGCCCATCGCTAAAATTTTATCAGCAAATGTGTCAAGATCAGTCTTTCTACGTGGATACCACGGCACTACCGGTGTTACTAAACATTATAATATGAAATAATTAGAAAAGTTATCTATACAACTAGTTTACTGCTGATAAGTGTAGAATATATACCTTGAGTAGCCCCGGTATTAATGACTTTAACTTGCTTTGTAACTTTTTCCAAAGATTTGATTGTGTTAGAAAGTTGTTCCTCATCAGCACCAAAATCAATAAAGAAATCATAGTCCCAGCCGGGGGTTTTACTTGGACGACTATATTTTAAAATTGCTTATAATAAGTCAATAAACGTTTAATGTTTTGTAACTTTGAGAGAGATTTACCTTTCAATCCTAGTTAAAGAAATATTCAAAGTCTTAATAGCTGTCAAACATTCGATCAGTATACCCACTCGATCCTTGACACTGAAAAGAAGAGTGGTAGGAAATGAGCTTTCGTTTGCACCATTTGCGTTCTTAACTTCAGAATCCATTTTTATTAAATTAACAGTTGTTTTCGTTATTCTTGAACGTTATTTTATTGATTTTTTTTTAAATCTTAAAGGTGAGACCATATTTTATTGATTTTAAGGTTTCTGATCTAATATCTAATATAGGAATATCGATAGAAAAATTAATATATATATTAGTTTTGTAAATTGTATGGATTGATAGTTTGCAGTGAAGTATAAGCCTCCCTATTTTTGCATTAACGCTACCTAATGTGCCTGTTTCTCAACATTCTCGACAGTGGCTTATCGGTGAATATTAAAATTTTAATACGTTATTGTTTATATGTTTTTTCATTGTTTACATGTTTTTTCTCATGCGCAAACAAATATTGATATATCAATTAATTTTGCGTTTTGATATAACAAATAATAAATGAAATTAGGGATGTTATCCTGCTTAAATCTGCTAGTTAGTGCTTTGAAACCCGTTCGAACACTGTTTGGAAACACATACGTACGTAAACTGGGTTTCAAAAATCTGCTTTAAACTATTTATATGCATAAATTATGAACGCATGAACATGTTATAGAGTTTGGAACCGGTTTGCTAAAAGAAAACCCGACTATTTATATTTAAATTGTCGGATTTTCTTTTAGCGACACTCATATGTTAACATATGAAAAATAAAACCGGTTCCAAACTCTAACATGTTAGTTTAAAACCTGCTGTATAATATATTATATAAACATTTCGCATGACATTTATTATATCAATATTTGCTCTTTTAAAGAAAAAATATTTGCATATTACGTATACATTGCAGTGATTTATTTTTTTGTTGACCCTCATGCATTCAATCATACCTATACTTGCCGCCCAAACCCCAAAAAAACAAATTGCTTTTATAAAAAATTAAATCAAAAAATTAATTTTAATATTTTGTAAATATATTATATATAGTTATAAAAATGTATAACATTTTTTTAAATAAAGATTATTAACAAAGTTTTTGAGATAATAGTTTGGGCTTGAGTTTGGGATTTGGGCGCGGACAAACCCAAACTATAATAGTTTGGGATTTTGTTTGAAAATGATTATACTTGCCGCCCAAGGCTTGCGCCCATATTTTCTTCAGATCTATATTGGCTCAACATTCATTTTACTAATACTTACGTTTAAAATGTGTTTTTATCGTAGAAAAACCTGTATTCATTGAATAGGCTTGATTGCAATGCTTGCAATATTACTTTCAATAAGCCCATCCAGTTTAAGTAGTTTTGAGGAACAGTTTGTTGTGTATGCGAGATAATGTTGAAATCGATGTGGAGATAAGTTCATTTAGATTATTAGGTTGTTCGAGTGTGCTTTCTTCGTTCATCATGAGATAAGAGAAAAAAAAATACATATTTATAGCAATTGAAAATGCTTCTACAGGGAGATACATATTTTTTTTTTTTAAAAAAAAAGCTTAACTTTAATTAAAAATAATATGAAAATTCATTTACATCATTAACGTCATGGAAATTAGCTTTTAATTAAAAAAAATTATCATGAAACATTTCTATGTACTCCCCGCCCAAAATGGAAATGATCGTCGTTGTTTATATGATTTCGATATGTATTTGTTTTTTTAAAAAAAAATACCGTCAATAAGTATTAGGGTTAGTGTTAGGGTAAGTGTAGGGCTTTAAAAGAAGAAACTAAACTAAAATTTCGCAAGAAATTTTTTTTGCTAGAATACAGAAGTTAGTTTCATAAGCGAAATTTCAAGATAAGAGTGATTTTTTAAAAAATAATTAATTTTTTAATTTAATATTATACACTGATTATTCATGTAAATTTGACATAATAGACACTAATTGGATAAAAAATGTAATTTCCAAATCGGGTGGGGGGTACATAGATGTACCCTATATAATATTATATAATTTACATATAAATATTATATGATTTGACCAATCAGAATTAGCAACTTTTGTGTAATTTTAAAAAACATATAGCGATTTCAGAAACTTTAATTATATATAAAGTTCATTTTTTTTAAAGCAATGTATATTTCACAATTTTACTATAAACAAACTAGTTTAAAACTATATATTATAAAAATTTGATAAAAATTAAATGATATTAAAAAGTTTAATCAGAAGTATTTTTTTTATTTACTATATAAAAATTCAATATACTATGCAGATCATATAAAAAATGATCTATGTATATCCTACCCTTAAAAGTTTCTAATTGAAATTACATAATTACAAAAACATGTGTTTAACTTACTACTTCTAGAGTTGAGTTGGCAATAGAGCTAATAGAGCCAATGGTTGTGTGAATAAAACCAAAAAATTAGTATCTATTGGTTCTATTTAGAGCTTTATTGCAAAATATCACTAACACATGATTTTTTGCTAATCAAATTTCAAGACCAGATATAACATTACATGATTAGCAAAATTTAAAACAAATGTTTATTTTATCAAAAAAAGTCAAAAATTGCATATTTCTTAAGAAATTACCTTTTTTATCTTAATAAAAAATTTTTTCAAGGAATTTACTATAAAAAAACTTAATCTAGACTGGAGGTTTAGGCAATTTATCCTAGACCCTAGAGTCTAAAATTTTATTATGAATCTCAATTAATTAACTAATTAAATATTTGTTATATACTTGATAATAATCATTATAAAATTTATTTTTTATTTTTTTTCAATAGTTGCAGCTTGGTATTGTGTTGTCATTATTTTAGTATTGTGTTGTCACTTTTTTGAAGTTATCACTTTTTGAAGTTATGTAATTTTATTGTGCTAGTTTTAGTATTGCTGTTTTGATAAGATTTCATTGTGTTAGTGTTGTCACTTTTGAAGTTGCTTTTAATATAATTATGTTGTATAATTAAATTTCTTATCACTCTTTGTAGACTTTTGTTATTTTCAGTATATTTTTTAGTAACGATTTTGATTTTTTTAAATAAGTTTTTGTGCAAGTTTGTTATTGTTTTAGTAAGTTCTTGTTTATTTTATTATTGAACATTAGTTGCAATGCAGTTAATATTTTTTTTTTTTTATATTCGGCGGTCCTGCCTATTACTTTTTATTTAGAAGTATCAGAACTTATATCAACAGAAAGATACAATTTTCTATACTATATTCCATGCGAGTAAAATCAACTCGAGTTAAACTCAGAAAATGATCTACCTAGAAGCAATTGGCTTCACATTGGATCCTCAATTTCCTGAGGATATGTACTCTCTGATCCTTAGCCCTAGCAGCTGCATTGCTTCGTCAAAAGAGCCAAATTAACAAAAGCACTTATACAAAAGAAAAAATAAAACAGAGGTAAAGGGGAAACAATAAAAGATACAAACAAGAAGAAAAAAAGAGAGAAATGAAGTAACGAAAAAAACAAAAAGAGAAAATTTGTCTATCCTAATGATCACTATTAAAAGTCTGTGAAAGACTTGTAAAAATTACATATTACTAAATAAAATAGTCCCTACTCTAAATTTATCTAAATAGTATATCAAAGCTTAAAACCAGTAGAAAATACTTCTTTGACCGTATAATATAGAGGGTCGGTACTTGATCCTAGTCTCGGAGTATTGTTTATCAGCTTGTTGTATTTGAGACACGTGTCTTGACGTGTTTGTTGTCCTGTTATACTGATTTAGAAAGTAAACAATACCAACTGTTTTGGTGCACATGATATCGATCTTTTGGAGAGCATAAACTGAAATGCCTACTTTTTACAAAAATTTTTCGAAAAAAAGTGGTGGCCCAACGAAAGTATATAAGGTTCTTCTTGTAAGAGTTATAGTTGTATAGTCCAGTTCCTCAGTTTCTACTTAGTATTCCTGTCTAGAGACCTACAATAATGTTGCTCCCAAAATATTCTTTTTGTTTGGATGTCAAAAGTGCGAAAGAGTCCACTGAAAGCTTGACCAAAGACACAACCCACTTGTTGTTTATACGCCTGCTCCTTAGTGTTTCACATATATAAAGTTTTGTTGAT